CCCGGCTAACCCGTCCTCTTCGGTATCGCTTTCCGCCTCGGCGATGTGCGACTCCGGAAGGGACGCGGCTCTGTCAACTCGACCGCACACTCGTCGACTCCGGCTGAAAGCTCGGGCACCGACACGAGATCTCCTCGATGAAAAAGAAGACATTGCCAGCCGCGAGAGGTGCATGAATTCCCCTGTGCATTGTCGACGAATTGCATCACGATGAGCGATTCTCCACGGTTTGGTGGAATGTTTGGCCCGAACCCTTAGCGATTTAGGTAGAAAGACCCCGAACATGGCCCGAGTCTCCCCATGTCCTTCGCAGATGTATTGGCATTACTGCGAGCACACGACCTTACCTCGCTAGCACCCGAACTGGCCAAACGCGGGCTCACTACACCCGATAAACTCCGAGGGACCTCCGAGAATGTTCTCGTGGAGATTGCCCCCAGTCGACTGGACCTCGACCGACTTTTGTCGGCGCTTGACCGCAGACCGATGCCACGCGAAGTAGTGCCGGTGCGGAGACGTGACCTTCCCCGATGTAATCCTTCTACCCGAGGATCACTAGCCAAAGCACTCGAAGCAGCAAAACCCGAGTTACGTAAACAGTCCTTGGAGGATCTCCAGATCAACACTTATGCGATGACTACACAGAAATCGAGAGACTCGAGGTGGAAGCTCTGGACCGCCCTCGCCGACGCATGGGACCTCGACGCCCTGCCGCTGTCGGTCAGGCTGGTCAACGCGATTGGGGCGAGTCTCCGATCTGGCGGATACAAGTCGGTGAAACAGATCTTCAGTCAAGCACGACAAGAACACGTGGCACAGACCCGAACCTCGGTGCCGCCCGAAGTGTGTCTCAAGATGCAACAAGTCGAGCGAGCCGTTGAACGGGGACGTGGCCCTGCCAAACTTAAGGATTCCTTCGTCGTCGAGGACATTGCCCGACTACCAGCACAACCCGAACGAGACGAACTCGAAGGTCCCCATGAATGGGCACGACGACTACGACACCGAGTGGTGTGAGCACCGTCCACTGAGCGGTGAGGGCGTCCTCGTCGGTGCCATCTGCAAGTTTGAACTCGACGCCTCCAGCCGTGGCTCCTGACCGCAGCTTCGCGATCACGTCTGTGATACTCGCATCGTCCTTGAGGTAGGTGCTAACGGTCGCATGTGATTTGAGACCAAGTTTGGCGAGGTACCTAGCGACCACGTCCGTGGTCAGGTCGATGCCCGCCAGGTCCGCAGCATCCTCGAGTGGACTAGTCATGTCATCGCAGTGATTCGGGCTTGGACAGGAAATTGCTCTGGGTTAGATCGCATTCGTTGTGGAGTGCAATCGAATGTCAAGCAGCTGCACACATATGACTTTATGCGAAGCGTTCTGTCCGATCAGCCGAACGAGGTACTGCCGATGACACATCGCCGAGGCGGAAGTCAGTCGGGGTTCAGTCCTCGTCTTCGTCGGGCTGTGCATCTGCGAAGGCTTGTGCTTCACGTAGCCTAAAGCATCGTTTGCACTTTGGGCCTGTGGGTTCGCGATACTCGCGACGATGTGGCGCAAAACCGTATGGCCAGCCACATATCGTGCGCCAATGGGTGTTATCACAGGAGGACTCGGAGACTCCTGGTAAATGAATCACTTTAGTTAAAGAGTTGACTACCCAAAATTTAGTCCGGAGTGTCTCGAGGTACTGTGCCACCATCTCGCGAACTTGCTCGGGCTTGGTCGGGGTCTCAGGCCTGTGGAATTCGTCTCCTCGATGTAGCGGAGACTCCTGTACGTAAACTTTGATGGCATCGCTGCCCCATCGACCGATGAGCTGTCGAGGGGAAAGCCTCGTCGGGTCAGCATTTGAGATCCTGAAACTCGACAAACGTGTTCACAAAACCTGTCTAGGAGTGTCCCGTTGGGTCCCACGCGAGTCATCGAAGTTCCTGTCGCGGAGATGACTGACCGGAAAATGTCGATGGTCTGATGATGGTCGAGTGGATGTCCGCCAGTTCCTGGGAAAAGTGGGCCGTCTGGCGGGCATCCCAGGGATCGTAGAAGGTCGAGATGTCGTTGTAATGCGCGGAAAGGACAAAGTCGAGGTGATGTGGTACAGCAGCATGGGTGTGATCGTGTAACGCAGAGTCCAACTATGTCGGTCTTCGTGCATGGCAACGTGATGAACGCCGTGCGTCCGGCGTGTGTGATTTCCACCCACGCCTGGCCCAACGTTACCGAAGCTGCTTCGATACCTCGTAGTAGCCACCAGCAACAAATGATCACCATGTCTCGACACGCTTATCATGCAACAACGACACACCCATCACCTTCGGCTCCCCCGACAGCACCTACTACTACCTCTTCCCCGCACACCGACAAGGACATCGTCCCCAAGACACTACCAGCGGGAGTCTACAACAAGCTCGTCGAGGACTACAATAGCATCACGGTCGATGGTGAACGACGACAATTCCCGGAGAAGAACCTCGTGGGAGCAGAAAAGGTTCTTGCGCGGATGTACCACGAACATCACACATCTAAGATGTATACCGCCACGGCCTTGGGAGAGATCGTATCACAACGAATTTGGACGAGCTTCAATACGATTAACTCGACCAGAAAGAAGGACACCAATGAAAAGAAATTGGTACTCGATGAACGCAGCAACATCACCGAGAAATCACACGAAGAATGGGATGTCCGGGGACAATGGATGCTCATCGACGCCATCGAGGCAATTCGATGGGCATGGATTCTCATCAAGTATTCCTCCGAGACGGTCATCAACAAGTACGTCGATTGGTTCATCCGATTGGTCCGTAAACATTCACAACGCATCAACAATGTCAACCTGGGACATCGCCATGCGAATGCGCTCTAACGAGACCTTCCAAATGATCACCGAGGATCTCATGAACGACCTAACACGAGTCAACGACGTCATGCAACAACCGCTATCTAAGCGACCCCGAGTCGGCAAAGGCTCCGAACAATCTTACAAGGGCAAAGGGCAAGGATACCAACAGAAGTGGTCGCCCCCTGGACAAGGACGTCGATATCGACAACCCTGTGGAGCCACAACGTCCTCCTCTTCGGCTCGGCCGCCAGCGTCTGGTCATATAACCGATTCGGCGACATTTTGGTCGCCTGCAGCCGCACTATGTCGCTATGATTCTGTCCCCAGCGATGCACTACGTCGACGACTACGGCTCCATGGAGGACTCCGACTTAGCCGAGGGCAGCTTCGAGTCGTTCGAGGAGTACAGCGGGTGTCTACAAATCTCGATGAAACCCAGCAAACGACAACCACCTCAAACAGCCCATCGAATCCAAGGTGTCATCATTTCCTCCGACAACAACGACCTGGTCCTTACTCCTTGTCCAAAACGAGTTACGAACATGTGCAAGCAGATCGACACGCATTTGACAACTTCGTCACTGTCCCCCCGAACAAGCCAGGAAAATGGCTGGGAAGTGCAACTTCCTCACTGGGCGATTGTTTGGGAAAGTGGGCCGAGCAGCTCTGAAAGCACTCTATGCTCGCGCCCACTCCCACTCACATGCGCTCGACAAACCCACACGATCCTCGCTACTTGCCCTGAAGGACATCATACAACATTGTCGCCCGATGACGATACCACGTACGATGACCCGACCAAATTACAGCGTCATCTACACGGACGCCTACTTCCGCCTCGGCTCCAACATTTACAAGCCGGGGGACACCGACATCCCAAGTTGGGACTTGAAATCAACATCCGACATCGAAAACGGATGGGCTGCAGTTTGCTTCCACCACGGTGACGTGCCAACTGCCGCTTACTTCCAGGGTCGTCTTCCTTCACTACTCGTACGACAGTTCTCCTCCGACCAGGCATTCATCTACCTCCTCGAAGCTTGGGTGGCCATCCTGGCACCATTGGTCTTTGAACCATGGCTCGACCACTTTTACGTCCAATGCTGCGACAACGAGGCTTCCCGACACGCCCTCCTCAAAGGTGTCGGCAAACATCAACCTCTCAACTGCCTCATTATTGCGGCACATTGGACTTGGCACAATCGACGAAGTCTTGCACATCGACTCGAACGTGTTCCTACCAAGGCCAACATCTCCGACGGGATCAGTCGTTTCGAGCACGTTCCAGAGTCTGAGGCATGGACTAAACTCGATTTACCTCTGAACGCACTGACGAGTAGGGCTGCGAAGATCATAGGAGACATTCACTTCGCTTCCTCTACGGGTTTTTCCGACATACCCGAAATCCACAGATTGCACGATTTGTTGACCTCGATGCTAGGTTAATGTGCTTTTCGAGTGGCGTTCGCCTGCGATGGGAGGACGCGACCACCCTCGATGGGAACCAGTCGGTCCTCCCAGCAGAAGGAACTCTGATGCTTCCTGTTCGGAAGATCTACACCGATCTGTAAGATCGACTACTTCGATCTGTAAGATCGAAGCGCAGACATAACGCCACCGAAGCGGAAGCACGTGGAAAACAGCTCCGCTTCAGCCAGGGATTCATGGCTTTCGTGTGAGATTTCCGTTGTCGTGTAGCACACACTTGTTTGTGCGAAGTGACAACTTATTATCTCACCTAAACACCGAATCGGTCAGGGGATTGACTCACCGATTCAATTCGATCAATTGCATACTCCGTGGCCATTTTGGCGAAAGCTGTTACAGCTTGAGCGAAATTTTGTTTCACCCACCCGTCCCGGCCCTCTTTTATACTACATTTCAATTTTCCTCTGCTTCCTGTCTGCGAGAACCGCCTGGGAACCAGTCGGTCCCTGTTCGGAAGATCTACACCGATCTGTAAGATCGACTACTTCGATCTGTAAGATCGAAGCGCAGACATAACGCCACCGAAGCGGAAGCAGGTGGAAAACAGCTCCGCTTCAGCCAGGGATTCTGGCTTTCGTGTGAGATTTCCGTTGTCGGAAAGTTCAATATATGCCCAATCTGGAATATTCAGTAGCACGAACCTGGAAATGAGAAGCTTGAATATCCATGGAGGTTGGGCGCAAAAATCTTGCCGATGCTGCAGTGAGCCTTTGCCCATGATGGTTGTAGTCTCACAGTGCCTGTCTAATGTGGTCAATCGTAAGCACAAGTAGGCAGTGCATCTCAGTTCGAGCAGGCTTGCACCCAGCTGCCACGGGAGACTTTCAAGCTACACTCGTTCAAAGATCCAGACGGTGACGGCAGTAGACAATCGCACACTGCTTTCCAGGGCAAGTGTGGGTGGTGATTCTGTGGCAGGACGTCTATTGCTGTAGCAGCTTCGAGATCCCTGTGATTCTGTTCTGATGGAAGAAAGTTGCCGTGATGCGAGCTGAGTAGACATTGCACAGCCGCGGCACTGAGGAAGCTGGTGTCCGATTCGCGAGCGCAGTGGCTTGCGGAATCCGTAGCTTGCTTCAGAGAGGTAGGTGCATCCGTAACCTTCTGTGACGTTTGTGGTGCAATCTGAACCTAGCCGGTCCCTTGCTGCAAATGAGGATGACTGCTGTGACGATATCACTGTCATTGCCGTGTGGCTGTGATATGTCGGATACCGTGAGCCTGGATTTGAGTGGGTTGCTGTTAGTGAGTTGCCCGATGAAGTGTGATCAGCGATTCGTGCAGGTACTGAATTCCAAATGTATTCTGCTTGAATCGGGCCGAGTCCGCACTCACTTGAGCGTTTGCTGGCGATCCAGAAATGTGAGTTGTGCCTTCAGTAGCGGATATGCCTGCAAGGCATACGCGTGGAGAAATCTCCCCGAGTCAATGTGTGCCGAAGCCATCTCTACTTCGAAGAAGTAGAGCTGATCGCGGCGGAAAGTCAAACCCAATCCGGTTCAAAAAAGTAGCTTGTTGCCCAGCTCTGATGGCCCAGCTGCGCGGCGTTGTCCTTCCCAACATGTCAACAAGCACTGACTGTGCTTTGATATGCTGGAGAGTGTCCAATGCCAGGCCCGTGCCGAAGGCCTGAATCTTGTTGCACAGCTGATCTGTTGCCATCGTAGCGTCTTGATACCCGTGTCTTTGGCTACGCTCGGTTCTACGATTACAAGATCCTATAAGCCTGACACGATAGGCCAGTGAAACAATAGAAAAGCGGTTCGAGCAGTGTTTTCGGAGCATTCTGGAAAAGCATGGGGCACAGCGTTCCAAATCCATCTCGGTAAGGATCAGTACTCTTACAAGCCCGGGGCAAAGCATTTCACGCATGGCTGTCACTGTGGGCATACGTTGCGGGAGAGACAGAAGAAGAGAGCAGGAGTAAGAGGTAGCCACTCCCCAAGCCCCCACCAAGTAAGACAGAGCCAGAGAAAAGAGTTTCAGAGAGACTCGTCTTCCGTGCTCGGGGTGGTTGCCGGGAACGCTTTCTCGAATGCTTTCGGAACGCTTTCTGGACACGTTCAGTATTTCCGTCAATGAGAGTTGCCGGAGGCACACATACGCCCGAAACCGCTCTGCATCCACACCGCCGCACTTACGACCGTTATCTCACCCTTTCAGTGTGGGATATGAAGGGGATGGCATGCAGCGTGACTCGCCCGTGACTCTGCTATGTCTTGATTCAAAGCCATGGGAGGAGCACAATCGAGACAATGCCATGCTTGCATAAAGTACACATGAATAAGGTCAGCTTTTTCTGTGAAGAACTCCTGCAGGGTTCGATTTACTTTCGCGGCTGGAGCTCCTGAAGCCAATTTTTTCGCAGAGCACGGAGGCTCGATTATCATGGCACGCATCATGCAAGCAGCGCCGTCGGCATTTTCTCGACGAGCATTTGTTCACTGCTGCTGCGGCGTGCAAAATCCAAGAGGGCTCTTTGTTGCGGTTGATGAGGAGTGGGCAGCCTCATACACGCGTTTGTAGACATCGCATGTGAATAGACGTGCAGCTTAAGGTGTTTCGGACGTCTGTTGGAGGAAAAACATCTGGGAAAATAAGGTCTCCAATCCTCCGACTTAACATAAATGTTCAGGTGTGCATCATTAACATGTTTTCGATCAGCCCGGAAACCGCCAATTGTAAGCCGCTTTTGGTGCCCACTGTGTCACTTTTTCTGCCTAAGTAGGCAAGGGACTTTCAAGCCGGCAATGTGGCCAACTGTAGCCGCCAGTGAATTTGATCTTTAGTTCACATAGTGCACGATGCTGAGGAACACAGTGCGACGACGACGACTACGGCGACGACGACTTCGACGACGACTACGACGACGACTACGACGACGACTACGACAACGACAAGGACTAGAACTACGACTACTGCCACTACTACAACTACTGCTACTGCTATTTCAATTGAACGCTGCGCGAGCGTGCTCTGCGCTTTGCGGGCGCCTTTGGTCTCGTGCACTCGTGAAACTGCTTCTAGCATGCATCGCTCATACCTCTCTAATCAGCTCGTACTTGACAGACTACTGCTACAAAAGCTTCCTCCCCCGACACCTTGGAGTGAACAGACGCGTCCATCTGTGCACCTGTCACAACAAGTAGGCCGTACCTCAGACGAAGCCGACACCTGGAGTATCCGTCTTGTGGCGTCCCACACGGATTACTCATGTTGAAGACAGAAGGCCGTAAGGGTCATTTGCCCATGACCGCATGTACCTGAAAGCAACTCCGGTGGAGTGAGGCTGTGGGCAGCTTGGACGTGGGCAGCTCGCTGAAGCAGCGAAGTGCTGTTTTAAGCGAGATTAGCACGCGGTTCACAGGCTTCCGAAGAGAATTGCATAGAGTCGGAAGAGTGCCGAATTCCCTGAGTCTGTGACATAAGGGATCAAAGAGTCTGTGACATATTTCTGCCCTCACTGGTCGTGACCTTTCGGCCACTGCTGAGAGTAACCGTGCCAGGACCACTGCTGCCACCAGTCCCAGTCGTCTTCTTGAGATGAGCGTGCCTGCCTGGCCCACTGGGTCGAGGAAGAAGAGGAGGGGCCATCGCGCTGTCGCTTGCCCTCTGTGTCAGCCTCCTGCATCTGTGGGCGCTTGTTAGGGGCAGCAGCAGCCAATTTGGCCATGCGCTTGTCCTCCTCGTGCCCCTTGTCGTGCTGGATCCGCATCTTCATGATGGAGTAGGCATTTTTGTCGGGTTTGACCCTGAAGACACGAGCTGGGAGTCCGGCTGATTTGGCCGTCTCATTGTAGACTGCCACGATGGTGGTGGCGATCATGTTGAACTCGACCCACGAGGGGAAGTGCTGCTGAAAGGCCTTTTCGTCCCACATCTTGTTGAAGCAGGCATGGATAAGGCCATGCACCTTTGTGGGGGCGTCCAGCTCGCGATAGGCATCTCCCGCGCCTGTGGCTATAGTGACCTTCCCATCGCTGGTGAGGACCCGCCTCACCGACATGGCGGTGTCCCATGTGAGGCCTGTTTGCGTCCTTACCGACTTGATGGCGGAGAACAGCGGGGGAACTTCTCGGAGTGCGTCCATCCAAAGGGTCTGTTGCTCATGGTTGGTGAGACCGCCAAGAATGACCGGAGCCACCAGGATATTAATGGAAGCCAAGGCCCGAATCCAGTCCTGGTGGGACTGGGAGCTCAGCAGTTGAGCCAGCTCCTGCCGCGTGTATCGTACTGTCTGTTGTGGAGCCGGCTGTGGGACATAGCCGACGGGTTCCGCGTTGGTTGCCGGAGGCTCATATGCTGATGGGGGACGGGAATAAGGAGGAGGGGGCGTGTGGGAACGCGGAGCAGCCTGGGTGGCAGGGGCTGGGGAAGAGGCGGACTTGGGAGGGTGCGGAGGAATCGAGGAAACAGGGATAGCCCGGAGGGGGAGCAGGTGCTGCCGAGGAGGAACTTGGAGGCTGAGGGCCCGGGGTGGGCACCATGGACGGTGGGGCCTTAGCCGGAAGCGCTGGGGCCGCCTTCGGTGTTTCCGCCTGGCTTGCCTTGAAAGCCGCCTTTTCAGCTGCCGAAGAAGTGAAAGGGCACGGGGGTGAAGGCGGCGGCTCAAAGCCGGCTGCTTTGTCTGTTCCTTTGGTCCGGGTTCTGCTGGGGGGGAGAGGAATCTCCTGTGGGAGCTTTGGGGGAGGGGGAGGAAGAGGTGTGTGGGGTGCTGACAAGGCGCTTGGTGCCGGGTCATGCTTCTGCGTGACAAAGTGGTTTTTGAGGCCGTGGCCAGTACTGAATTGTACCTGCCGGTTGTGCTTCCGGCAGTGCAAACAGCATAACCACATGGCGCCTGAAACTTCCACTTGCCCTAATCCGCGAGGGATGAGCTCCAGCACATCCTGCTCTGTAAGATCTTGGTTATAGTGGTGGGTCTCACGGACCGTGGCCATGATCTCTGCAAAGGAGTTGTGCTGGATGCTGTCTGCCACATAGGTTTCAATATCCTCCTGAGTAGGGGGAGGAGGAGCTGATGTGGCGGTTGCCGTGGTCTGTGACCTAAGTGGCTGTGGTGAGCTGTGCTCTTCGGGTCTATCAGACTGGATTTCCAGGGAGATGTCGGGTAGCTGGCTCTGCAGCATACGATCGGTTCGTTCTTTGGTGGTGGGGTCTCCCTGAAATCCCTTCAGCCACTTCCAGCACCTGGTGTAGGCGACTGTCGTGTTGTTGGCGGTCACAAAGTAGTGGCCGTCGTTGTCGTACTTTTTGTTCTTCACGCGCTTGTCCCAACGCTCCGAGAACAGGTAGATGGGGCCAAATTTGGCGGAAACATTCCAGCCCGCTTGAGGGGAGTGACCAAGGTCTCGACCCAAGATCTGCCAGAGAAATTTGCAGAAGGTCATGTATTCCAAGTTCGCCTTCGCTGTCATAACCTGACGGCTGAAGGCGTGCTGTATGGCTTCCCTCATCAAAGGGTGCCTGGGCTTGCCATAGATGATGCCTTGAAAGACGTGATCTCCTTTGACTCCAATGGCCATGACCATGAACTCCTTGGGGAGTTGGCCAGGTGGGGAGGGTCTGTGACCCACTTCACCTGCCTTCGTTGAGTGAGCTGTGCTCCAATCTGCTGCTAGAAGCTTCAGTACCTGTTCCCAGGGTACCACAAAGCCACATTTGATATCGACGTAGAGGCCGCCGTGCTGGTAGTGGTAGACGTAGCGGAACACGTCTGCTCTATGAGCAGGTTGACTGAGGCGATCCAGCAGATTGGAGCCGTACTTTCCGGCAAGTTGCCGCAGGGTAGCCCGAAGGACACCGTCATCACAGAATTTGCGGGTGAAGCCGGCAAACATTTTGGCCGCAACTTGGGCTGGCTCCGGCTTTTCGTCGTGGACGTAGGTCTGGAAGAGGAGGGCCGGGACGGGGGCGGCCTCCCATTCTGGGAGGTGCGTGAAGCGCATCCCCCAGGGGCCATGTCCGTACTGCATGGCTACCTCCGAAAGATCTCGGACAGTTCGGCATTGTGACAGAGCTTGGGCAGCAAGCATTTCGACATGCATGTCCTGCTGGCGAGCATTCCAGCCAGCAACCACGAGGACAGGCAGTCCTGGGGTGTTGCGCATTTCCTCAATGGCTCTTGTGACGAGTGCCGAGATGACGATGTCCGCGACTTCGGGGCGGAAGTGGAGATTCTTGGAGTTGTAGAGCCATTCTA